TTGTTGTCCAGATATCAATGAATGTTGTTGTCCAGATATCAATGAGATGTTTGTTGTCCAGATATCAATGAATGTTTGTTGTCCAGATATCAATGAATGTTTGTTGTCCAGATATCAATGAATGTTGTTGTCCAGATATCAATGAATGTTGTCCAGATATCAATGAATGTTGTTGTCCAGATATCAATGAATGTTTGTTGTCCAGATATCAATGATGTTGTTGTCCAGATATCAATGAATGTTTGTTGTCCAGATATCAATGAATGTTAGTTGTCCAGATATCAATGAATGTTGTCCAGATATCAATGAATGTTGTCCAGATATCATTGAATGTTTGTTGTCCAGATATCAATGAATGTTTGTTGTCCAGATATCAATGAATGTTTGTTGTCCAGATATCAATGAATGTTGTCCAGATATCAATGAATGTTTGTTGTCCAGATATCAATGAATGTTTGTTGTCCAGATATCAATGAATGTTGTTCCAGATATCAATGAATGTTGTCCAGATATCAATGAATGTTGTCCAGATATCAATGAATGTTGTACTGATATCATGCAATGTTTGTTGTCCAAGATATCAATGAATGTTTGTTGTCCCGAGATATCAATGAAATGTTTGCTGTCCAGATATCAATGAATGTTTGTTGTCCTGATATCAAAGGAATGTTGTCCAGATATCACTGAATGTAGTCCAGATATCAATGAATGTTTGTTTGTCCAGATATCAAATGAATGTTTGTGTCCAGATATCCAATGAATGTTTGTTGTCCAGATATCAATGATGTTGTCCAGACATCAATGAATGTTTGTTGTCCAGATATCAATGAATGATTGTTGTCCAGATATCATGAATGTTGTCCAGATATCAATGAATGTTTGTTGTTGATCCAGATATTCAATTGAATGTTTGTTGTCCAGATATTTCAATGAATGTTGTCCAAAGTATCAATGAATGTTGTCCAGGATATCAGTGAATGTTGTTGTCCAGATATCAATGAATGTTTGTTGTCCAGATATCAATGGATGTTTGTTGTCCAGATATCAATGAATGTTTGTTGTCCAGATATCAATGAATGTTTGTTGTCCAGATATCAATGAATGTTGTCCAGATATCAATGAATATGTTTGTTGTCCAGATATCAATGAATGTTTGTTGTCCAGATATCAATGAATGTTTGTTGTCCAGATATCAATGAATGTTTGTTGTCCAGATATCAATGAATGTTTGTTGTCCAGATATCAATGAATGTTTGTTGTCCAGATATCAATGGATGTTTGTTGTCCAGATATCAATGAATGTTTGTTGTCCAGATATCAATGAATGTTTGTTGTCCAGATATCAATGAATGTTTGTTGTCCAGATATCAATGAATGTTGTCCAGATATCAATGAATGTTTGTTGTCCAGATATCAATGAATGTTGTCCAGATATCAATGAATGTTTGTTGTCCAGATATCAATGAATGTTTGTTGTCCAGATATCAATGAATGTTGTCCAGATATCAATGAATGTTGTCCAGATATCAATGAATGTTTGTTGTCCAGATATCAATGAATGTTTGTTGTCCAGATATCAATGAATGTTTGGTTGTCCAGATATCAATGAATGTTGTTGTCCAGATATCAATGAATGTTTGTTGTCCAGATATCAATGGATGTTTGTTGTCCAGATATCAATGAATGTTTGTTGTCCAGATATCAATGAATGTTTGTTGTCCAGATATCAATGAATGTTTGTTGTCCAGATATCAATGAATGTTGTCCAGATATCAATGAATGTTTGTTGTCCAGATATCAATGAATGTTTGTTGTCCAGATATCAATGAATGTTTGTTGTCCAGATATCAATGAATGTTGTCCAGATATCAATGAATGTTTGTTGTCCAGATATCAATGAATGTTTGTTGTCCAGATATCAATGAATGTTTGTTGTCCAGATATCAATGAATGTTTGTTGTCCAGATATCAATGAATATTTGTTGTCTAGATATCAATGAATGTTTGTTGTCCAGATATCAATGAATGTTTGTTGTCCAGATATCAATGAATGTTTGTTGTCCAGATATCAATGGATGTTTGTTGTCCAGATATCAATGAATGTTTGTTGTCCAGATATCAATGAAGTTTGTTGTCCAGATATCAATGAATGTTTGTTGTCCAGATATCAATGAATGTTGTCCAGATATCAATGAATGTTTGTTGTCCAGATATCAATGAATGTTTGTTGTCCAGATATCAATGAATGTTGTCCAGATATCAATGAATGTTGTCCAGATATCAATGAATGTTTGTTGTCCAGATATCAATGAATGTTTGTTGTCCAGATATAATGAATGTTTGTTGTCCAGATATCAATGAATGTTTGTTGTCCAGATATCAATGAATGTTTGTTGTCCAGATATCAATGGATGTTTGTTGTCCAGATATCAATGAATGTTTGTTGTCCAGATATCAATGAATGTTTGTTGTCCAGATATCAATGAATGTTTGTTGTCCAGATATCAATGAATGTTGTCCAGATATCAATGAATGTTTGTTGTCCAGATATCAATGAATGTTTGTTGTCCAGATATCAATGAATGTTGTCCAGATATCAATGAATGTTTGTTGTCCAGATATCAATGAATGTTTGTTGTCCAGATATCAATGAATGTTGTCCAGATATCAATGAATGTTGTCCAGATATCAATGAATGTTTGTTGTCCAGATATCAATGAATGTTTGTTGTCCAGATATCAATGAATGTTTGTTGTCCAGATATCAATGAATGTTGTCCAGATATCAATGAATGTTTGTTGTCCAGATATCAATGAATGTTTGTTGTCCAGATATCAATGAATGTTTGTTGTCCAGATATCAATGAATGTTTTTTGTCCAGATATCAATGAATATTTGTTGTCTAGATATCAATGAATGTTTGTTGTCCAGATATCAATGAATGTTTGTTGTCCAGATATCAATGAATGTTTGTTGTCCAGATATCAATGAATGTATGTTGTCCAGATATCAATAAATGTTTGTTGTCCAGATATCAATGAATGCGCCCATTTCCCAACTCTCTGCTATAACGGGCGATGCCAGAACACCATTGGAAGTTTCAGTTGTCAATGTAATCCAGGCTTTGTACTTGACTCTGAAAACATCAACTGCACAGGTAAGAGATGATATTTATAATCATCATATCATGATTTATCATCATTATCCTACTTGTTGTGTGTGTGATATAACAGATATTGATGAGTGTTCCATCGCCCATGAGGTCTGTGTCAACGGAGTGTGTCAGAATACTCCAGGATCATTCCGCTGTAATTGCAATGAAGGATATGAGGACTCCATGATGATGCAGATGTGTATGGGTGAGTTGACCACACTTCACTGACTTTCTCTCTAAACTGACTTTATAGATTGAGAAAAAGGGGCATTTCCTCATTGTGCAAATAAAAGTTGCTGATGGCTTGCGCCATCTATCGAATCTCCAACCTGATTCAAGTAAAAATTCATTTTTGTTCTATTTTTCAGATTTATAGAGTTCCAAAGAAATCTTCCATCACTTCATCACAATTCTTTTATATAAAATGAAATAATTTAAGCATGAATTTTTCTTTTATATACAATACAAACTTCTACTGTCCTTACTGCGATGAAAAATATTGGGAGGGCTTGGTTCATCAGTTGTGAACCCTCCCAGCGGTTTCACCAATTTAATCTTACCAGACCGTTTCTTAGAACTTTAATACTGAATTGGATGATTCTGTTTATATATGCAGCATTAACCTTGTTGCATATCCAAATTATCATATCCTGGAGTAATCATAAGGGGATAACGTGCCATCTATATATAAGAAATGGAAGCATTATAAAGCACGGATGTTTCTTTTATATACAATACAAACTTCTACTGTCCTTACTGCAATGAAAATATATATTGGGAGAGCTTGGTTCATCAGTGGTGAACCCTCCCAGTGGTTTCTCTAATTTAATTTACCAGACCGCTTCTTAGAGCTCTAATACTGTATTGAATGAGTCTGCCTATATACGCACATTAATCTTGTTGCATAGCTATCCCAAAATTGATAAGTTGAATAATCACATGGAGTAATGTATTTTCAAAGATCAAAATTGTAAGATATTGATGAGACTGAGGTGGGGATGTAAGACTCAGTTTATTTAATTGCTGCAGTACATTGTCCTGGTGGGCTATGGTCACCAAGGCCTGTTCCAATGCTGGGTTTGTGGTCAGGTCTTGGAGGGTTGTTGTTGTCTGGTTATCATCGGTAAGGCTGTAGGAGGGGTTGTAGCAATGACAGGACATCTTTCGTTCGCCGCTCAAGGAGACAATAAAATAAAAATAGGATGAAGGGTAAGCGATAACTGCCACGTTGTATTAAAGCATTGCCGCGAAACAGTGGTCAATGGTCAAATACAATTTATATCCGTCATCTCTGTGGTGCCGTTTCTCTGATTAAATAATTAATTAAAAATAAACAAAAATTAAATAATTTGTACTGCTCCCGTGTACCATCGGTCGGCTACTTATTGACACACAACAATATGAAGCATTTCTTGTAGAGTATTTTATATTTATAGAAGTTGATAAGGCACAATTTGGATTATAGATTATGAACACAAGGTAATAAGACCAAATCCAAATAAATAAATAGTGTGTGACGTTTCGGTAACAGCGTTGTTACCATCCTCAGACAAAAGTACTGAATGAGAGAATTTTACCACAGCATACTGCAGCATGCTGTGGTAAAATTCTCTCATTCAGTACTTTTGTCTGAGGATGGTAACAACGCTGTTACCGAAACGTCACACACTATTTATTTATTTGGATTTGTTATTACCTTGTGTATATTTATAGAAGCTCTCAAGTATTTCTGTCTTACTTTTATACATTCTTTTTAAATTTCTGTTGAAGAACAGAAATCCTCAAAAGGTCATAAACACAAGGTAATAAAACCAAATACAAATAAATTGTGTGTAAAAAAAAAAGATGGCCCATGGGGGGAATTGAACCCACGACCTTCGCGTTATTAGCACGATGCTCTAACCAACTGAGCTAATGGGTCTCCTTGTCACACTATTTATTTGGATATGGTCTTATTTTACCTTGTGTTTATAATCTATAATCCAAATTGTGCCTTATCTCCTCTAAAGGTCATATTAACAAAAAAAGCGTACAAGAAACTATTCATAGCTTACAATTTTGTTCTTCTTTTGATAAAATCTCAAATTTATCTGCTAACAGCATAGATGGAAGAAGTCACTAGCATACCATTTCTGTATTAGACACTGCTGAGAAAACTATATGGATAAAATAATATATCAACTTTAACAAATTCTACATAAACAGAAAAAGATAGGTGCTATGGGAAGAAAAAGCTTTTATAGATCCAGTTAAATATTTGAACATACAGTAGAACCTCCCTTTAAAGGACAATACCTAATTGCAGAGCCAAAGTGTTCTTTAGAGAGAGGTGTCCTCTTACTCGAGAGTTGCTAAATAATAAAAAAATTGTAATTTTGACAATGAAAATTGTCCTTTATAGAGAGGTGTCCCCTACTGGAGAGTTGATAAATAGTAAAAATGGTCATTTTGACTATGAAAACTGTCCTTTATAGAGAGGTGTCCTCTTACTGGAGAGTTGCTAAATAATAAAAATGCTAATTTTGACAATGAAAACTGTCCTTTATAGAGGTGTCTCTTACCGGAGAGTTGCTAAATAGTAAAAAATTGTAATTTTAACAATGAAAATTGTCCTTTATAGAGAGATGTCTTCTTACCAGAGGTTGCTAAGTAGTAAAAATTGTAATTTTGACAATGAAAACTGTCCTTTATAGAGAGGTGTTCCTCTTACTGGAGAGTTGCTAAATAGTAAAAATGGTAATTTTGCAGTTTAAAACTGCCCTTTATAGAGAGGTACTAAATAGTAAAAATGGTAATTTTGACAATGAAAACTGTCCTTTGTAGAGAAGTGTCCTTTAGTGAAAGTGTCCTTTCATGGAGGTTCTACTCTATATGCAATACAATAGTTGTATAGTGGTCAAGTAAATTTAAAAATAATTTTATAATAAAACTTTGTTATAAAGGTATCCTGGGTTCTAGGACAAAAATGCACAATGTATAATAGGAATAGTGTCATATTTAGGAAATAAAAAAAGGTTATTTGGACTGTGTAATACAAGAAAAAATAGTGAAATAAATGAGAGAGATTAACAAAGCTTCATTTTGGTACAATTCTCAGGTCTATTTCTAACTTTCCACTTTCTTTGTTTCAGACACAAGGTAATATAAGACCAAATCCAAATGAATAAATAGTGTGTGATGTTTTGGTAACAATGCTGTTGTCGAAATGTCAAACACTATTTATTTATTTGTATTTTGTCTTATTACCTTGGGTTTAATCAATAATCCAAATTGTGCCTTATCTCCTTTGTTTCAGATATCAATGAATGTACGAGGAACAGAGGACTCTGCCGTGGGGGAACATGTGTGAACACTCCGGGCTCCTTCTTCTGCCAATGTCCTTCTGGCCATGAGCTTTCTACTTCTGGAGACGTGTGCAAAGGTTTGTAGTGGACACAATTGTTTCTGGAGACATGTGAAAATGTTATAGTGGACTTAATTGTATGCTTAGAGACATGTGAAATGTTATAGTGGACTTAATTGTATGCTTGGAGACGTGTGAAAATGTTATAGTGGACTTAATTGTATGCTTGGAGACATGTGAAAATGTTATAGTGGACTTAATTGTATGCTTGGAGACATGTGAAAATGTTATAGTGGACTTAATTGTATGCTTGGAGACATGTGAAAATGTTATAGTGGACTTAATTGTATGCTTGGAGACATGTGAAAATGTTAGAGTGGACACAATTGTATGCTTGGAGACATGTGAAAATGTTATAGTCAAATTAATTGTATGTGCTTGGAGACATGTGAAAATGTTATAGTGGACTTAATTGTATGCTTGGAGACATGTGAAAATGTTATAGTCAACTTAATTGTATGCTTGGAGACATGTGAAAATGTTATAGTCAGATTAATTGTATGTGCTTGGAGAACTGTGAAAATGTTATAGTCAACTTAATTGTATGCTTGGAGACATGTGAAAATGTTATAGTCAAATTAATTGTATGCTTGGAGATGTGTGAAAAGGTTTGTAGTGGATACTATTGTTTCTGGAGACATGTAAAAAATGTTATAACCAACTTAATTGTTTCTGCAGACATGTAAAAAATGTTATAACCAACTTAATTGTTTCTGGAGACATGTAAAAAAAATGTTATAGTCAACTTAATTGTTTCTGGAGACATGTGCAAATGTTATAGTGGACTTAATTATTTATGGAGACATGTGAAAATGCTATAGTGGACTTAATTGTATCTGGAGACATGTGAAAATGTTATAGTGGACTTAATTGTTTGCCTTGAATGAAGTTATACAAGTACGCAAGAGTTTATGTGCAAAAAGCAATTCTGGACATGTCATCTGCCTGGTAAGCGGAACACTGTGGGTTTGATTCCCATCCCTGGACACTTTTATTTTCACTCACATTACTCTTCACAATTCATCCTTTCATATTCCATCCCTAAGGATAGGTTAGTCGTTATTTCTCCTTAAATAATGAAAATTATGATTTTTCGTTCTGTGTGAAGAAAAATTTGAGGTAAAACTTGTTAAACATCAATCTTCTTTCTTATCTCCACTTAATCATATTAAGGTATCAAGCCTGTAATGCCTCCTTTTTAATAAATGCATTAAAATAATGTTTTTAAAATCTTTTCTGATTAGAACCTTCATGTTTACATCATTGGAAAAGCCATAACACCAGTTTTGGAACAGTTATACAACAGGTCAACAACCTACAAGAAAATAAGACCAAATCCAAATAATTTAATAATGTGTGATGTTTCGGCAATAGCTTTGTCACCATCATCAGACAAAAGAATAAATGAGAAAAAATATCACAGCAAGTTCTTAAATAGTACTGTTATTGTTTAAACAAGCACAAGGTGATAAGACCAAATCCAAATAAATAAATAGTGTGTGACGTTTCGGTAACAGCGTTGTTACCATCTTCCTACAAAAGTACTGAAGTCAAAAGTCATTCAGTACTTTTGTCTGAAGATGGTAACAACGCTGTTACCGAAACGTCACACACTATCTATTTATTTGGATTTGGTCTTATCACCTTGTGTTTATAATCTATAATCCAAATTGTGCCTTATCAGTGTTTAAACAAGATAACAGATAAGGAAAAATAGTTTTTTAAGACAACTTGAGAACACTACTATTTAATGACTTACTGTGATGGTAACAATGCTGTTACTGAAACATCACATACTATTAAATTATTTGGATTTGGTCTTATTTTCTTGTATTATACCTGTATACCACAGTTTCAAGCTATCCCATATCTAGCAAACCCGGCTATAGTGTCCATAGAGACCAGATCGAATGGCAGTGGGGATTCTGGCAATTCGCTCAACTCTCCATACTTCGGTCCTTTTGGGGTTTTGCTCATTTGACAGATGTTACAATTCTTAATGAAGGCATGAATATCTATTGACATTCCGCTCCAAAAGTATTGGGCGCAGATGATCCTAGTCAGTTGAGAAATTCCTGGATGGTTGAATTTCTGGTGAGCTTCTTTAAGAATTGTTATGAAATTGGTCAAATCTGCTAAAGAGTTTTTAGCTGGTGATGTTTTAAGGTTGATTTTAAACCAGAATACATTGTAATGACAATGATAATATTGATGAACAAAAAAGATAACACTCCTTTATAACAAATGCCTAAAATATACATTTAGGCCATAAGAACATATATATACAGTTGTAAATGATTAAGTACAATTCGGATTATAATTTAAAAGTACAACATAAGACCAAATTCAAAAAATTTTATACTCTAAATTTCCAATATATTTGTATTGTAAAATGACATTTGACAAGTTTTACCGCAAATGTTTCTTTTGAACGAAAATCAAAATTTATTTTAAGGAGAAATAACGACTATTTCTATCCTTAGGGATGAAGTATGAAAGGATGAATTGTGAAGAGTAATGATGAACGGAAAAATAAAAGTGTCCAGGGATGGGTAGCCTAGTGGACATGGTATCTGCCCGGTAAGAGGAACACTGTGGGTTCGATTCCCATCCCTGGACACTTTTATTTTTGCCGCTTATCATTACTCTTCACAATTCATCCTTTCATAATTCATCCCTAAGGATAGGAATAGTAGTTATTTCTCCTTAAAATAAATTACGATTTTTCGTTCAAAAGAAACATTTGTGGTAAAACTTGTCAAATGTTCTACAATCATAAGCCGCATTATATTGTATTATATTTCTATATATTATAATATAATACAATAAAACCCTTCTATAGTGAATCCCAATAGGACTGAAACATATGGTTCATTATAGCAATAGTTGACTGTATTATAAAATTAAAATGGGGATTATTTCATGTTCATTAATAAGGGAAGATTCGCTATATCCCAGGTTTGTTTTAGTGGAGTTTTACTGTATATTAATTTATTTAGATTTTTTTTAATTAGCTTGTGATTAAGTTGTAAATTTTAAAACGAAAATTGCAATTATACCGCGAATGTTTCTTTTAAATGAAAAATCAAAATTTATTTTAAAGAGAAATAGCGATTATTTCTAACTTTGTGAATTGTGAAGAGTAATGATAAACGTAAAAATTAAAGGTGTCCAGGGATGGGAAACGAACCCACAGTGTTCCGCTTACCGGGCGTATCAATACACCCACCCTGTATATAGCATTTATTTACTATATATATTACAAATATAAGGTGTTTACAGATATTGACGAGTGCAGTCTCACCAGTGGTATCTGCTCCAATGGAATCTGTCTCAACATGATGGGTGCCTACCAGTGCATCTGTAACGAAGGCTTCAAGCAAACTACAGTCTTAACTAGCTGCGAAGGTAAGCCTAATTTTTTTATTTGATTTATTAATATGGTAAAAATGGGGAAATCTAATGCTACACATGACCAGTACAGAGCAGGAGGGACAAGCACCGGTTCTGTCCTCCCAAGAAAACAACAGTCTTTGATTTCCAGACTTGAGTCTGGCCATCTACAAACCATGACTTTCCGGAATGATTGCAAGGTTTTTCCACTATGTACTAAGTGCAATTCTCAACCTGCAACCCCAAAACACATAATTGACTGTATTGACTCATCCATTGATAAGCTCTACACCAGTGATTCTCAACCTTTTTTTTGTTGCGGCATTATTTTAAAGATTTGAAAATTTGGCGGCACAATTTTAGAATTTCGCGGCACACTTTTGCTAACTTGAATGCAAGAAAATTCAAATTATGTATCAATATTTCTATGCAAAATATAAGTAATATACATCTCTAACATTCAATTTGCTAATTTCGTTATTTTAAAAAGTAAAAAAATGAAAAAGAAAAAAAGAAAAACCAATACAAACGTGAACATAATCATATGACTAAAATTCGGCGGCACATTTTTAGAATTTCGCGGCACACAAAATTACCGCGGCACAATGGTTGAGAATCACTGCTCTACACATCCTCAAGCAGACACCATCAACAAGCTCTACAAGTTTTATATCCTGATATGATTTTTGAGAGGAGATAAGAAAGAAGATTAATATGGTACAATTTTGATTATAGATTATAAACACAAGGTAATAAGACTAATTCCAAATAAATAAATAGTGTGTGATGTTTTGTTAACAGCATTCTATATACAGTTACGAGCGTCATGGCCTCTGTCACGGTTTGCCGGCGCCCTCCTATTGGTCGGCTACGATCACGCCACCTTTGCCCCCCCCCCCCCCCCCATCATTTGGGGCCGCCAATGCGCGAGACACTTCTGTCACCGTTTGCTTTTGGTTCAGTGGTAGAATGCTCGCCTGCCACGCGGGCACCCCGGGTTCGATTCCCGGCCGATGGTTTGGGGCGGGACGTTTCACAAGAGTGACATCTACGGCGCCAATTTATAATTGTAACGAATAGTATTTGAATAAAAGCATTTAATCGGGTAAACCCCGGGCGTTGCCCGGGTCATTCAGCTAGTTATTACCTAAGTATCAGATACTATTTATTCATTTGGATTTGTGGTTTCAATACCTAGTATTTCATTTATGGTACTTAGAGGAATAGCAAGAGCCAAATCCAATAAAACTTTGTTTCACACTTCTCTACTGGAATATATATCAAAAGCCTGCTATAAGCAGGATAGCTTTAATACAGGGAATCAAAATAAAGTGAATTGAAAACAGAAGAAATAAAATAAAAAGTGGGATACCATTTATTTTTTATCCCTAGTACATGTGGTCCAGGCCATGCTAATCATGGCGGATAGTAGTTGGCGACTGTTTTTACTGAAAGTGCACCACATATCTACACATGTGAAAAGCAGTTTGACTTTTTCTCTTCAAGTGTGCCAAAATTCCATTTGGTTACTTGCATGCACTGGTTTACATAGTAATAATAATTTCTTAGGTCCATCGAAGTCTATCAAAAATGATTAGGTGCAATTTGGATATTAGATTTAAAAGCATAAGGTAATAAGACCAAATCCAAATAAATTAATAATGTGTATTGAATTTGGTCTTAAACCTTGTGTTTTTAACCTATAATCCCAATTGTACCCAATCATGAATTGTGTGACTTTTTTAGAGATCATATGCTTAATGTCTTATGTGTGTATGTGGCTATGACAATGTGTAAAATTGAATTATATTTCTACATGTGTGCATGTTTCAATTCTTATCATAGCGACACCTGTTCTGTTTAAAATTGGTGCATAAACTGTTAGTTTTATTGTACTTGTAGTTGAACTACATTGCTGATGTGCTTTCAAAAAAAAAAAAGGCCACAAGAGAACCTTTGCCACTTGGAATAATAAATTTACTTTTAAAGAAATAAAGACATTAACCAAATAAAAAACAAGAACTAGAAGATACTATATAAGCACAGCTGGTGCAATGGAGTGGACCAAGGTGGAGCTCTGAACCTCAGACAGCACCAAACAACAGTAACAAGATTTAAAACAGGCCATCTCAAGCCATTAAAGATAGAAAATAATAATAAAATATAAACCACTTGCCCAAAATATAGCTTGGGGCACCTGCAACTCCAGAACACATTTTAGCTTGCATTAGATGTGCTGAATAGGACCTTTAGGAGAGGCCGCTGCTTATCATAAAACAGCTCGAGGAGCATAACTCATGGAATTCGTGTAATTTTTACAGAAGAAGATAAGAAACAACATCAACATAATATAAAGTTAAGCATGCTGCTCATAGATATAGTGACAATTAAAAAATATTTATTGACATCATTATCAAATACATAGGTGCATAGTGCCTACAATTAATATAGATGATTATGCAAAAAATTACAATGAAAAGATGATATTTAAAATTAACATATAAATGCTATTTTAAACATAAATTAAACAAGATGTATTAGCGGTCATCTGTTTTGGTAAATTGAAACTATTTTACAGTGCATCGTTTCTTTTCAAGTAAAATAATTTTTTACTGCTTTTATTGCAATGATAAAAATATTGAGAGGATCTGGTTCATCAGTGGTGAATCCTCCCAGTACAGTATGGAAGATTAAACTGACGAAGCTTCTGGGAGGGTTCCCCACTGATGAGTCAGGCCCTTCATTTTTTTTTTTTGTTATAAATGTAATAATCTTCTTCTTTCTTATCTTCATTCAATCATATTAGGGTATCAAGCATGTAGAGTTGACAACAATCATGACTGGGTGAAGTAGAATGCGTCTGCTTTTGTCAATTAAGACTGGGAGCTCTACTCAGTGGCTGGCCGACTTAGCACCAAAAGAAATGGCTGCCTCTGACATGAGGAACAGACGCCATGTGTAGTCGCTTCTAACATGGAGTACAGACTCATCTTGTATCCCTGGATTAGGAGCCCTTACAGGGTACTATCAGCCGGGCCAGCTGAACCCAGGTTTTTTAGCAAGCTTGTTACTGCTCTCCCTCCTATTTTTTCATATGGGCTTGGGACCAGCAAAGGTGGAGTTAAATGTAATGGCAGTAGAAAATTATTTTATTTGAAATGAAACATACACTCTGTAAAATAGTTTCAACTTCCCATATAAATGCTATGTATATATCCCATATAAATGATTATGTACTTGGAAACATTGCCACCAAAGTAGAGTATAATAGGATATCACCTAAAAAGGTCTCCAGTGAAATATTGAAATACCAATTTCTTGAAAATTCAAAATGTGCCTCTCACAAAAATAACCTTTATTTTTAAATAGAATTTTGGACATCTAGCAAATATCTGTGAATCAATACATATTTGTCTCCTTTCTGTTTTTGTTTAAATGAACTCTAATGTTTGTCCAGATATCAATGAATGTGACAACCGCAATGCCAACTGCCAGGATATATGTGTCAACACAGCTGGGAGTTACAAGTGTGACTGTAAACCTGGTTTCATGTTGTTGCCTGATGGTATATCATGTGGAGGTAAGTTCTTTCAACAACTTTTGTAAGAAGATATTGTTTACTACTTTCTCTCCTTGTGTAATAAATTGGCTCTTTATAGAAAAGGAACATAGTATTGATCATTGAGGTAGTGTCTCTTTCTAATACATGTAGTACAGGCCATGATAATCATGGTGGGTAGAAGAAGATGACTGCTTTTACTGTAAGTGCACCACATGTATACACATGTGAAAAGAGTTCGACTTTGCACTTACAAATGTACCAGAGCCCCTTTTGGTTACTTACACTCGCTGGGGGGTTGGACTTTTGCAAGAATCGGGAGCCATTGGAGCATTTTTTTTTTTTATCAGAAAAAAGTGCCCAATGCGGGAATCGAACCCGGGTTGTAGCGGTCGAAAACCAATAGTTTAGACCATCCTTCCACTGACCCCCCAACTTGTCTCTTTATTGAATGACCAAATAGTTTTGATCATTGAGGTAGTGTCTCTTTAAGAGGCAATCACTTTTTTTAGAAGAATTGTTTGGAATTTTTCAGTTTTAGAATTTTGATAATAGCAGTCTAGCTATTTATGTATGCCATCTTTATTATTTTCTTGTTGCTTATAGAGTAGAAATACCTATCTGTAAAGAACAACACCTAGTTGCATAGCTAAGGTGTTCATTAAAGA